TGAGGTTCCCCAGGAGCCTGAAGTCAAGACGGCTGAGGTTGTCCCGGGGCCTCAGGTCAAAGGCAAGCCAGGAGCTGCCAAAACCAAGCCTCAACGTGCGAAGAAGCAAGCCGACAGTGAGAGTGCAGCTTGCGAGGCTGATGCTAGCACAAAACGTGCACGAAAGACTCCCACTTCCTCGGCAAATGCGAAGAAGCAACGGACCTCCGATGGCAAGTCGGAAGCCCCAGACCTGTCCAACATGGAGGCACCGATTGTGCTCCGCAAGGACCAGCTTGAACGGGGGAAGGTGGCCAGTGGTGAGGGTGAAGAGCAGGAGGAGGAGGTTGAACCCAAACCAAAGAAGGCAAAGACAGCGCAAGCCAAGAGCAAGGGCAAAGGCCGAGGAAGAGGCCGCAAGGCTGCCCCGAAACTGGCAGAACCTGTCACTGTAAGTGATGATGATGATGAAGCTGAGGAAGTGAAGGAGGAAGAGCAGCCTGAGGAGCTTGAGAATAGCCCCAAGGCCAAGGCCAACAAAAAGCAGGGCAAAGCTGAGGCTGATGGAGTTGCTGGCAAAAGGAAGGAGAAGAAAGTCCCAAAGGCTGAGGGCGCGCCGAAGAGAAAGCCTAGGAAGGCACCTGATGCGGCGGAGGGAGATGCCGTGGCGACTTTCGCTGGGCGCTACTGCCCAGTCAAAGAGAAGGAGATTCCTCATGCAAAGTTCACAGCCATCAGGGATGTCTTCAACGGAGATCAAACCGCGGGTCAAAGCGGCTAGCAAGCTCCAGGACGGGAGGTTTTCCAAATGGAATTTGGTTCTAGCAATTGAAAACCATACAGGCCCTCAGCATTATAGTACCTAGGCTTACTCTAGGCTTACTTGCCAAACCCATCGCAAAACCCTGGCAGATCAAATTCTGGAACCAGTGCGTGAAAGATGACCGGGTCGTGAATGCAAGCACTTATCATCAGTTCTACTCCGCGGCACTCCGCTTGGCGCCTGACTTTCCTGGACACTTGCTCGCTCTTTATTTATGATTTTTGTTGGGTGGTTCTGTAGTTGTCCTGTGTTGTCACCATTCTTCAGCCTTAGCTGGTTGGGGGTTGGTGTTCAAGTCATGCACAACCGAGGGACTGCTGGCCCTGAGCCTACTGAGCTGCCTGAGTGAGAGTTGGCAAAGTGATTTCAACTGGCCAACCGGCCGGCCGATCTTGAGACCTTCGGTCGTTTTTTGAAGTTTGGGGGGTTGGGGTCCACAGTCTTTCAGAAAGGACTGTGCGAGCTAAGCAGCTATGTTGCAGCCTGTGTGCAAGGGCGATCCTTTGCGGGCGCAGGGTAGGCATGATAGCCATCCTTCTTAAAGCGATCCAGCCTTTAGTGAAAAATTAGCGATTGCTCTGTGGGCCACCCTCTATAGAGTTGGAAGCTCGAAAATGCTTTTACAACAGTGAAACTGAAACTGTGCTTCTTTGCAGGCAAGCTTCACCCTAGCAAATGCCACGGCCAGCAACCGAGCTTTACCGCAGAAGTTCACAAGTCTGAATGGTCTGACTTTCTCGCATTGAGGAAGCATAAACTTCCGCATGGAGCCCTTATAAGTGGATATGGGTCCAGGTGTGCAATCTCACAAGGCCTACCTGGCATGAGTTCTATTCAACATGTGAGTTTATCAAGCCCAGCATAGCCCAGCACGGCTCCTCTTCAAGTCTTCAGCTTGTGTCGCATGCTTCTTCGCCTGGCAGGCATTTGTAGAGACCGAACCATAACCTTGAATAGCAATTTTGATCGCCATGTCGCCAGAGGAATTGTGCTTAGTGGTCTCTAGGTTGGCAGCCCTTGGGGTGCCAAAGGCCAGGCTGACTGAACTGAAGATGTCTTGTCCTACAGTATAAAAGTCTAGAAACATTGAATCAAGACCCCAAGCTTTGGTAAACCGTTGGAGGATTTCATTTGGCTGGTGGTATTCACTTACTGGTACACCTTGGGCGCCATTCATCACTTCGAAGGACTGCAGGTCATAGAAATGTTTGCTGGCGTTGCCCGAGTAGCAAAGGTGGCCTCACGACTTGGGCTTAGGTCCAGGGCTTTTGAAATCATGTTTGATGCATCTCACGGCAAGAAACGATACAAAAAGAATGGCCACATGAAGCGGAGCTTCATGGACATGAATGGAGACGCAGGGTTTGCGCTACTCGGTAGAATGTTTGGGTGAAAACTTCACTCTTCAACCCATCTCCCAACCCTTGAGTCACCCGCAGCTGACCTGGTAAGGCTTGCAGTGGCCTTGATCCTGGCAAGCAAGTGGGGAGACTGCTTGGCCCTGCTTGCTATAGTTTGCAGTTCCTTTTCAGTGGTCAACCGGGGCACCAGTGAAAGGGATGAACTCATTCCATGGGGCGCCAGTTTCAGACCTTCAGTGAGAACAGCAAACAAAATGACAACCAGGCCCGGGTTTCCAAAGAAACGGTAACCATCAAGGTTCATAACGAGTTCATAACAACTGTGGGAAATGGAGTGCTCATCGCAGGTCAACCTTGCTCTTCGCCTTGGTCGCGTGTATGGATTCAGTCTTCCTTTTGGAAAACCCAGGTGGGTCTTGTATAATGACTCACCCCAGACTTGCGTGGCTCGTCAAAAGGCTCTATTGTCTGGGAATGCCAGTGCCCTGGCCCAAGTAGGACGATGTCTTTTTTTTAGCTTTTCGATTTGACCACAATGGGGTCTTTCCTTTGTTTGCTCAGTAGTTGAGTTGTGGCATCTAAGGTATTTCGAACATTCTTCTGGATGGCTAATCATGGCGCACCTACTCCAAAACGTACACAATGTGTTTCCAATAGTGCTACGATCAGAAAGCTGGATTTGGGGCTTCTCCGTAGAGCAGGCAAGGTCAAGGAAGAGGACGAAACCACTATAACTTATGAGAATCAAGAAGGAGAAAAGAAGTTTAAAGGAGCCCCTGGACTCAAGAAGACGCAGTTCCTAGCTTTGGAAACTAGTAATGCTTTCAATTGTCCCAACTAGATTGCGGGGGGGGTGCCGCTGACCGCTTGTAGTTTTCCTACGTTGCTTAACTATTTGGTTTTGCTTATTGGGGCCTGTCCCAAGACACTGTCCTAGTCTCTTTGAGGGTAAATGCCTCCAAGGATCTACACACCACGGTTTGCAAAAGCTGTGGTCAACATGGTTCCACAGATGAAATGGGAGTCGCGGGAATCTATCCCTGTAGCACCTCCTTTGCACTATGGTAGGGGTGTCTTGTTGTTATGTACAGTCCTTACATCGCCTTTCCAATTCCCAGCTGCTGAGGCCAACCGGATTGCGCCGGCTGAGCTTCCAGGCTTTGTTTCCGGGCTGGAGTGGAGTGCCTGGGAGGAGGCCGAGTTGGCCGATTGCTTGGTGTACCTTCGGAAGTCTTCCAAGCTGGTCATCCCAAATGAGTGGGCCAGTGTAGTTCCTGACCTTAAATGGTTTGAGGACATCTAGGGTGCACCCAAGGTCGTGAACGTGAAAAAAAGCGAGCGTTTTTTCCCAGCGAATCGACGTTTTTGCCCGGCGAATCGACGTTTTTCCCCGAAGTGTTTTTTTGGACATTTCCAAAGTACTTGAAACACTTTTGCGTCCACCTCTTTACACCTCTTTTCAATGTTTTGGGTCTTGTATGTTCTTGGGGGGTGCATTACTTGGCCCAAGCGCGGCTTCAACAAAGTTCCGATGTCATACCTTCAAAAGGCGCAGTCAGGCAGCACTGACACGCTCATGGCGGGGCTGGAACACATAGTGGGTCAGTCCCGTTTCCTCAAGGGAAAGACCGACGAAGAACTTGAGGCTGAGTTAGCCGTGGCTGGTTTGGCCTTTAGTATGATTGTGGTTTTACACTGCTATGCCGTGAAGCGTTTCCACAAGTTAATACTTAGTTCATGGAGAGGAGTTGAAACATGTTCTGATCAAAGGTAATTTCTTTCCAACACCCAATCTTCTTCCCTATCAGAGCGGTTGGCCCCAAGGCACTGCCATGCTTTGTATTTACCGCAGGGTTATCCTTCGACCACAAACATTCTTAGCTAGGACCCTCCTCCGAGCGCTCAGGAACTTGAGAAACAAGCCGCAGCCGAACAGTTAGCATCTCAGCGGACCTTGGACTATTCGCTTCAACATGATGCCCAACCCCGTGAGTGGCCCTGGGCTTCGCCAGCGCGTCTCGCATCGGATCCCACGGCATCCAAGTCCAACAACAAAAGGTTGTTCCCTTCGTATACGGTAGTGTATGTTTTCCAAACAAAATAAGCATGTGAGAGTTCACGCACCCCAGCAATTGTGATATGGCCTCATGTTTAAACAATAATGCATTCTTTTTGTCAACCAACAAATTTCCAAGGTATTGGACACGGACAAGTCTTTTGAGTCCACTCTTCCCGCTATTCCAACGCCAGTCCGCACATCCCGGGCGCAGCCACCATCAATCTTGGTCCACTCACAGTCGAAGGACCTGGAAGATGGACTTGATGACCTGGAGGTCAGGGAGGCTCTGTCAAGTCTGGCCTATCTGGATGGGCTTGACTCGGAACGGGCGGGGGTGGAGGAGTTGTCAGATGATGAAATGGAAGGGTCAGAGGAGGAGGAACCAGAGGAAACCGAGGAACCCGAGCAAGAGGTTTTGGGGGGATGGTGGCATTCTCAGGGTTGATGACCCTAATGCCAAAAAGATGCAGCCCAAAGCTGGGCAGCTACACCTTAGTAAAGCCGCAGTGGACTCAAGAATGAGGAGAATCTTCACACCAACCCTCAATGGAAAGCTAAAGTGTCGCAGGCCATCATGGATGATTGGCAGAGTGGGCCAAAATCCAAAAAACGGCAACAACTCCAACAGATCTTTCAGATGTGCGGGTTCGATCCAGTACTTGGACTCAATTGTGCGTTCTTTTGTTTTCCAATCTTTTAGCGGACCCCAAAGCCCTCAAGGTGTTGTTGAACAAACACTTGCTTCTCCCAAACATGTCGCCAGCCAAGGCAACTTTCATTGAGGAGGTGGAGGTCATAAGATCTGAACTGGAGGAGTCTGAGGTCACTGTAGAGGGGGAGAACATAAGCAAGGATGATATGCTCAATGAATGGGGATGGTCTGAGTTCCTTGTGTTCAAGTGATTTGAACATGTATGTATGAAGCAGTTAGCTTTTACATGTGCAAGCTTTGTGGTTCAACACATCCCTTTGCTTTTGGACACTTCCACTTAGGCCGCGGGTGAGCGCTGTCATAAAGTTCTGCCGCACATGCCCTGCCAAATACATGAGGCTGTTGAAGCATGTTGAAGCCTCTCAAATGCCTGTGAGACCTGTGATACATGAACACATTTAGAGGAGCTTGGTTTTTTGAGTTTGCTGTTTTGGTGATATCTCCACTGTGTGGAGGCGCGACAAATACGAAGCTAAAACCCTTTACTGGGCAGAGAAGACCATCAAGGGTGTGCATAGGTTCCTTGGATGGATTCTCCAAGAATTTGACCAGTTTGTTTCACTCTCACCTAACAAAACTGCAATTGACCGTTCCTGCAAGGAAGAAAACGTCTACACAAATGAACAGAACTGCGCGCTGGAGGGAACTTGGCATCAAGGGCAATCTGTCGCCGGCAGGGGTCGTAGAGCTTGCCCCTCAAGGGGGTCATGGAGCTGCTGGAAAGGATGCCAGTGTCCCGAAAGGTGGGGGCAAAATTGATGGGAGTGGGGGCGAGGGGCGACACACCTTTTGGGGCCACACCAACTAAGCTTTTGCCTATAAATCCGGAGTCTTTGTCGCTGCTCACGGCCTTGCAGGTGCAAGCGATGATGAAGTCGAACCCGACGCAGACCTTGAGGTAGACAACCTGGCAGAGATTCGGAAGCAGGCAGGCTTGCCTGACATCCCTCCGGATGGTTTGCCATCTGCGTCCGCCCAAAAGATGATGTTACTCATTTTGATTAGTTGGATCTGCTTAGAGGGCCTGCATGTGGTCGGCTAGCTTCAGTAGTCGGTAGTCCATAGAGTTGGGGGCCCACAAACCATCTCAGGACCTGCATTGACAAACGTGTCGCCAAGCTACGTCTTGGACTCGAGAAGTTCGAAGCGGCTGGGAATTTGTCGGATCTCCAGACTAGGACCTCATGCTTTTCAACTTGGGGTAAACACTCAACACTCTTTCAAGAATAGCTCTAATAACCAAAGGTGTTTATTGCAACTGCACCATGCATTTCCAGGATGAAGAACAAGATCGAAGAGGTCATCACAAACCTCGAGACAAAGCAGAAAACGATTGAGGAGACCTTCAACAACGGTGTAGTCGATGGCTTGAGCCGCAAGTTTCCCCCTTAGCAGCTGTGCAAGTAGTCAAGTTGGAGCAACGATATCCAACAATGGCTATTATTGGTTTTCTCTTTTTACCCAGGGTGGAGAGCACGCTTCGCGGCCTATTCACTGAAGCGCAGCGGTCGTGGAGACCTCAGCAGCCTCAGCAGCACGGTCGTTAAGAACCATGTTTACCTTGTTTTTTCTTTGCAGGGCGATGGAAGCAGTTTCATTGGAAGGGAGGATGAGGCAGGCCCTTTAAAGTGTCAAGTGAACTCCTTGTCCCATCGGCTGCCCGCTAGATTCATGAATGTTTGATCTCCTTTCTCCAGGACGCTGTACCCGAAGGTCGAGAAGCCGGCTGCGAAACGCAAAACCACAAAAACGCGTAGAGAAGCTAAGGCTAAGGCCTCGGCAAAGGATAAACGCGTTCCTGCAAAGCAGGAGAAGCCGTCACCAGCTCCCAAGCGCAAACGCGCCAAGTGATGTTGCTCAGTTGTTAATTGTTTCATCTTCTGGGATCTTTTGGCTAGGTTCCAAGGCTACTTTGGTTCAGAGTCCGGTCAACGCGTTTTTGCTGGTTCTGTACGCCAATGTCTTGTGGTAGTCCAAAAAGGAACTAAGGGCCATTAGCAAATTAGCTGATTCACAGCGTGTTGTCTTTCCACGCTGAGTCTTTGAAGCCATGGGGAATCAAGGCATAGGGTGAAAAAGGGTGCTTTGACACTTTTGGCTTAGCAATGCTTTGTCGTGAGTCTTCACCACTCTTCACTGCTTGGATGTTACACTGCCAACCCTGGAGTAGATAGAATGCTGCACACTTGTTTGAAAACAGCGGGCATTCTATGTACTTCGGCGTAAGTCTACCTACACTAAACCTATGATACAAAATCTGCCAGGCAGCTTCTATCGCCCTGGCCCTCTCTCAGAAGCATTTGCTGAAGCAGTTGCAGATGGGGTGGGGGCCTCATGACTAGTGGGTGTGTCTCTCCTCATTCCCTTCTTCTGGTCAGGTCCCCGCCTCTTCCGTTGACAGTATGGCGCGCAATGCTGCCATCGAAGCTGAGCAACATGGCCTCAAGACCCCAAGATTGAACCGTGGGGAATGGAGCAAAAAAAATGCATCGAGAAGTGCTCAACGGATGATTGCCCGGCTTGGATACAAGTGGCACATTCCCATATCAGTGATGGAGTACCACTTTGGCAGCCAACAGTTGCACTTGCCCTACCTGTCGCCTATTGAGGTCTGCAAGTTTTTGATGACGAAGCATCCTGAGTGTTTTTGCGGTGGTTTCCAGTTGGATTCCGAGATCCAGTGCCTCCTAGCTACATTTTGGAAGAACTACAGGGCAGTTCACGCAGGACATGCTGTATTTCATAGACCGGACGAGTCTGCCAGCTTGGAGCTTACCATCCCCTTGGCCCTGTATGGGGACGAGGGGCGGGGGCGTCGGCGAGGAAACACAGCCCTGGTCACACTTGATGCAACTTTTGGTATCAATACAGCAAAGCACTGGCAGGAAGGGAGGCTGTCAACGAGCCATGAATGCTGCAACTCTGACACGCTGAAGTTAGACGATTTCATCCTCCCAACCATGAAGGAGCACTCCTTTTTGAGCAGGGTTCCACTGTTTCTTTTGCCGTGCTCGCTCTACAAACAGCACCCCGATCTCATCGAGTTCATGCTGGGGAAGATTGCAAAAGAATTGAAACAACTGTTTTGGGAAGGTCTGACCATCCGCGGCAAGGTTTACACTTTTGCGATCTTGGGGATGAAAGGCCATGCTAAATGGCTGGCAGAGGTTGGCAACCTCACTCGCTTCTATGGGAAGAAGGGCAATAGACGTTTGTTGGGGGTTTGTCCAGAGTGCCATGCTGGGATGGCTGGCGCTCCCTACGAAGATGTTACCAACAATGCTAGATGGATTTCCACCCTATGGAGATCGAGACCCTGGGACTTTGAGCCCTCGCTGGAAGAAATACCCTTCGACGCACGTGAGCCAGAGCGCATGTTAAGAAGAGACCTGATGCACGTTACAAAGCTCGGTGTGTACAGACACCACCTAGGATCAATCCTCAAAGTGTTGGTGCGGTGGAAGATCTACCAACAAGGTCAGCCAAATGATGTGCCAACTTTGTTGTCCAGGCTCCATGGACACTTCCGACTTTGGTGTGCTACCTTCAGCAAGAGCCCCGCAGTGAGAAGCTTTACACCACAGTTGCTAAATTGGAAGAGGTGGTCAGACTATGCTTGGCTCAACACCAAAGCTAGTGATTGCATCTTGATCAACCAATGGATGCAAGATTTCTTGCCGACACTGCGGGCCGAGATCAATCCTGAGCACCGTGTTTTCTTGGATGTCATGTTGCAGGTGTGCCAAAGCATTTCCCGCTTTACGCAATTGGTCTTTGGGCATGGGTTGCTCTGGCGGCGGTCATGTTGTGAAGCAGCATTGAATGAGGGAACGCGGATCCTCAATGGCTACACTTGGTTGGCCAAGGCGGTCATGCCGCTGAATGCCAACGGCTGGGCCGTAGTCCCCAAAGTCCACATGCTAAAGCATTTCATGGTAGACATGCAAACCTTTTTGAGGGACGCCGATTCTGATGTCCTATTTTTATCGCCATTGGCGTTCACAAATGAAATGGGGGAGGACATCATAGGAACGATTTGCCGACTTAGTCGGAGGGCTGATGCAAGGACAATGCAAAGCATGGTCCTTACTCTGTACCTCACCAAGGCTTGCATTGTGCATTCACGGTGGAAGTCACGGTCGAGTGTCCCGGGCTGAGTTCCCAGCTGCAAAGCAGGAGGAGGACGCCAAGACCCAAGTTGAACCGAAGCAGCCAGGTCAAGGAAAAGGCCGTCAGTCACCCTCATACCCCAGCATGAACCGGTGGTGCAAAATCAGTGAGTAACCCTGGCAACCTCGATTCGATGTTTTTTCATTTTTCTCATTGATTCCGCAGAAATTATTGAAAAAGAACCATTCGACAAAAATTTTGCACCACCGGAGGTCTTAGGTATAGTAAAACGTGCTATACAATTGTTTGAGTTGAAAGGTGTATAGGTGAATGTGAATGAATGTCACTTGGTTCACACACATCTGAACGAAAAAATCATTTGGTAACCGCACCCGTTGGCCAGACGGCTAGTCCGCAGAAGGGGGGAGCCGAAGCCTTTTGCCGAAAGACGGTGATTCATTGGGAGTCCCAGACTGAAGGCGTTTGAGGAGTGTCTGAGTGTCTCATGGTGTGCGAGCTGCTTAAGCATGGCCTTTGGACTCCCAGGAGTTTATAGATGTTATTCCATTTGTTTTGTCGTGCCTGGTCGGCCCCGGCTCCGACGTGAGCATTAATTCGCAAAGGACCAAAGGGGTTCTGTAACAGCCATGACTGGACTACAATTCGGATGCTGGAAAAAACAACAAACACCGGCTGCAGTTGCAAGACTGCAAGACACTTGCCGAAGACATCTATTTCCCCGCAAGAAATCAGGAGGTCCTTGTCCGAAAGTTCTGTGCATCGATATGTGGGCAGGACGATTTGCCTGTGTCCGCTTGCATGTTTCAACATCGCTTCGTTTCTGCTCTTTCCACACCAGCCTCACACCAGCCTCACGTCAGCAGCCTCCTCCATCCACCTCGGCGTTTCAACCGCTTCCAGATGACTGCAGCAGCACCGGAGACGGAGGAGGTGATGCCACGGTCTTCAAGGCCGAATGCGCTCAGTGACGCTCCGCCGAGCTCAGCCGGGCGGTGGAGGACCTCGAGCGACCGGTGTTGGAGGACCGAGAAGTGACGGGAACCGAGGCGACTCCGACAGAAGGAACTAGAGAGTACCATATATAGTACCTATATATTCCGTAAGATGATTGACCATTGACATCTATACATAAAGATTGCTATAAGTACTATACATGGCGGTGAGAGCCATTGACGTTACCTAGGCAGTCTCCATCTACTGTTCAGAGCGCATATTTGGAACCCAGTTGACAAGAAAAGGCCATTTGCTGCCATGTTCAACGCCATGTACCCTGAAACTGTTGTAAAGAATCATATATAGTTCGATGATTGACTATTGACGCAAGATTGCCATGATTACTATACTATAATGGTCTAGTTGCGTCTAGTTACTAGAGAAAGATGTGGTTCCTGTTCTTCCCTTTTGACCTCACGCGACCTCCAAGAGACCGAGCGTCACCAGACACCGGTGTCACCGATATGACCGGCCCAAAGCAGACAGAAAGGAGCTGTGAGTCCTCTAAGAGGTGTCCAAGGTCGAAGATGGTTGTTTATGTGTGTACTGATAATATATATATATAATACAATATATGATATGTATATATATATATATATGTACCTAGCGCCTCCAATCGGTGTCACTGGAGACTTATACAAGCAGTGTAGGGTTGTCCGTTGACAACCCTTTGGAAGCAGATTGTATATATAGATTCTTAGATTATATTATATTGTATATGTTTGCCAGCCTCAGGGCCTCTCGCCTTGAAGGGCATGGTTATTGGATGTTATTGGATGGAAATATATACGTACATCGTTGGGGGAATCTCTAAACCACCCGACCTGGTTGCTGGTACATCAATGATAGACTATTTTATTGATAGATGTGCCCAGATGTTCTTGTTCTTCAGCAACAACATCAGCCACAAGGAACAAGAGCTGCCTTACCTGGGCTGCGAACTCTTAACCTGCAGACGCCCAGGCATGTTCATCAGACACCTGCAGACGCCCCCCCGCCAGGGATGTCCAGCAGACTGTACCCCGTTGAGTCGGCCGGACACCTACTTGCCGCTTGGTACACGGGACCGGAAACAGTTGGCGATCGGTGGATTGACCGGAGGGTTGAAATGTGTTGGGGTGATGAAAGGGCGTTGAGAGGCGAGAGGTTCCATTGTTGAAGATATTCAATCTCATCCAACTGGAACTAGCTTGAAACAATGGAAAGGAACCACTCCCAACTGGACAAGATGATTCAATATTCATGCAAGTCACCTGTTTCTTCAAAGTGGCCGAACTTGATATCCCAGTTTGAGGTCACGAACGGGCCTGTAAAAGGTCACTTTAGGCAATCCAAAGAGGTCACTTTGAAGAAGCTGGCAAACAATTTTTATGGGAACTCGCTGCATATAAATAGTTTGCATCTGCATGCCATTTGCTCTTGGATCAAGGCTTTGTAGAAGAAATGGAAGAGGCGAACGCAAAGTGTGTCACAGCGATGTTGAAACCTCCAGTGTCCAGTGAGCCTGTGATGCAGACGAATCTTGGGCAAGCCTTGTTCGCTGTTTGGCTGTGGCCCCACAGCAAAGGCACCCCAAATAACCATTTGGGCACCTGCAAAAGCAACAACACAGCAAGTCTTCAATATCGTTTTACTTAGTAAAATGTGTTGCACTCTTCACCTACAGCCATTTTGGGGCCTAACTCTCTGAATCTTGTTGGCTCCGTCAGCTCCGGGCCGGATGCTCG